CATTGTGTTGTAGGAGCCTCGGCTGTCACAACCAATTCAATCACAAGTGGTTGATCCTCTAGAAGAAGAACAAGCAGAAGTAGATGTCGTTGACAAAGAATATGAATATGAAGAGTTAGAGTTTGACAACATGATCAATGATGACTCTGAAGACGATGTGCTACCTGAAATACCTCCGAATGAAATTATACACCACTTTCACACATGACAAACTTCAACATGGACAGAGATGAACCGTCATCATAGGTTTTTTTCAACCTGTATATGCTGTCAAATGAAAATTTAAAAGAGAAATACAAATTTAATTCAAGAGAAGATTGTATGCGAGTGATAAAAAAGTTTCACATGTTAAACTTTGTCGATTTTTAGGTAGGTCCGGTAAATCCAGAAATATACAAGCTCAAGTGTATTCACCCTGATTGTATGTTCATGCTCACTGCATCATACATGTTGAGAAGTGATTGTTGGGTGATAGGTTTTATGTCCACCCATATGTGCGTTAATTCTACTCAATCACAAGATCATCATAAACTAAATTATAATCTAATATATCAATAAATCCCACCTCTCGTCAGCAATGATATGTCATTGAAGGTGAAAACTATAATCTCTCACATCACTACAATATATAATTATACTCCATCATACAGAAAGGCGTGGTTAGCAAAGACCAAGGCGATTGAAAAGGTATATGGAAACTGGGAGGAGTCATACAAAGAACTACCGCACTATCTGCATGCACTTTAGACGTATTCTCCTAGAACTATTTATATTATGAAAACATTATCGGTGTATGCCCCAGATGGTATTTCTGTCAACGGAAATAGAATATTCAGTCGACTGTTCTGGGCTTTTCAACCTTGCATCACAGGGTTTGCGTCCTGCAAACCTATTATTCAAATAGATGGAATGTGGTTGTACGGGAAATACAAAGGCACGCTACTGATGGAAGTTGCACAAGATGGAAACAACAATATTTTCCCAATTGTCTTTGCTCTAGTCAAGGGAGAGACTGATGGTGCTTGGAGTTTATTTCTCAAGAATCTCCGAACACATGTGGCTCCACAATCTTGTCTCTGTTTGATATCCGATAGACATGCATCTATTGAGAGTGCATACAATAATCCTGCAAATGGTTAACATGACCCTCCTTTTACGCATGTCAACTGCATTAGACATATCGTACAAATTTTCACGAGGGAGATCAAAGATAAGGCTCTTTGGAAAATAGTTATGAACGTGGGGTATGTGTTAACACAACCTTCGTTTAAAAACTATCGCAACGAGATCAGATTGTCAAATCCGGATGCAGGTAGGTGGATTGATAATATTCCAGTGAAGAAATGGACAAGGTCATACGACAATGGACAACGATGGGGCCACGTGACAACAAATCTTATTGAATCAATAAACGGTATATTCAAAGGCATGTGAAACCTCTCAGTAACGACTTTGGTGAAATCAGCATATTTTAGAATGGCTTCATTGTTTGCAAAAAGAGGTGAAATATGGAATGCAGTCTTACAATCGGGATAACTATGGAGTGAAAGTTGTATGAATTATATTAAGGCAGAAGGTGTCAAAGCCAACACCCTTCTTGTTATAAAGTTCGATCGACATAGCCACAACTTCATTGTCAAAGAGACAATCGACCACAACTAGGGGCTTCCAAGACAAAAGTATAGGGTTGTACTACCATCTTATTAGTGCGATTGTGGAACGTTTCAAGCCTTTTGTATGCCTTGATCTCATGTCATTGCGTCATATACGTATACTCATCAAGATGCATTACTATTTCTATCTCCCATTTACAAGTCTGAAACCTTGTTCAGCGTATACAACAATGGCTATCCAATGATAACGAAACCTGATTATTGGTCTACATACGAAGGGAAAACAGTATGGAACAACAGTCAAACGCGAAAGAATAAAAAGAGTCATCCTAAAAGAAAGTGTGTCACAACTGAAATGGACTCCCTTGACAAGCTAGAAAGAAAGTGTGGTTTATGTAGTCAGGTCGGACACAATCAAAAAAATTGTCTCACTCATGCTACAAGCTCGACAACATAAAAATTGTATGTGAACTATCTGCATTTTTTTAAGATCTAAATGTAACTTTTTTTCATGAAGAGAATTTGTTACAACAAATCATACGCAAACAACAAATAAAAACACGATAAAACATCTAAGAAATTACAACCGTCAAAACAATTTCATCTCAGTCATGCATCATCACCATTACGTCTCTGCATGTTTTGACTTCCTCAAACCAAGATTGAGGTCTTCCATTTGCAAATGAGGTGGTTGTTCTTCTTCTCTCTTCAGACAATTTCATTTTCATCGAAGTTTTAGTGGCTGAAAAAACATACTCATCTCGGGTGAAAATCATGAGATGTTATGATGTAAAAAACTGAGAGAAAATGCGAAGAGAATGTGAGAAAGTGTGAAGAATGATTGAGAAATAGGTGTTTTATTTATAGAAAACACGATTGCACGTAGTAGCCATCTCACATGGCGCCTCCTTCCCATATTATAGTGTATGCATCATTTCACATAGCTAAAATAAAGTGCATGCGCTAAATGAGACGACGCCTAAGGAAAACAGGTGAGTGCATGCGCCAAGTGAGATGACACCTCTATTGATGTATATTATTTGTGTAATTTTTTCTAAAACATGATTATTTATGTTTTTTTTCAAAATGTAGTTATTGCTAAAAAAGATTCTCATTTTTGTATAGAAAAAAGTTAGGCAAAATACTCTTTTTGGTCCCTTAAGTTTATCTCGAGGTCCATTCTGATCCATGTTAGTCCTTTCCGTCCAATTTTGACTAACGGCGTCATCTTTTGCATGCTGACATGTGACATGGAATTTAATGTGACATATGATTATCACCATATTAATAAAAATTCAAACATTTTACCTTAGACCTGGATTTGAATCTAGTACATGCTGGTCACTTAGAAGATAGTTTACCACTGAGCCAATTTTCTTTTTTTTTATTAAGTTTATTAATTAAATGTATAATAATTATCTATTTTTCCTAGATTTCTTCAAAGTTCATGGCTTTCTTCAATTAGTACCAAGCTTTCTTTAAATCTTTGTCGAAGAATAGCAAAATCGAAAATATGAAATTGAAATTTGTTTGTAGTCTTCGATTTCGTTTTCTCTTGTGGCTACCATTGTAGGTCATATTAACACCAGAGCTACAAATAACTACTTTCTCAATTCTCCCTTCCCCCAACATCTTTAACTCTAATTTCTCCAACAATTTCCTAATTTGCTTGAAACAGCTCGCTTCTTTCCTTTGATCTCGTTGTTGATTCACCGAAGAAGATTAGATCAAGAACATAAAGATTGAAATGAGGAGCGATAAATTAAACCTATTAAAACCATTGCCATATGGTCATAGGACCGAATTTGTAAATCAGAACGACAAATGATTTTTGTGTGGATTGATTTATTGGTCCTCAAACGTGGAGAGTTGTTTCGTTGTTTATGGTGATTTTTTTAGAGAAGAAATCTGATCCGGGGAAAGAGCGACATGGGTAGTCGTTGTATAAGACGGAGAAGCTCACAAAGGATGAAAGTACGGTATGACGGAGGGATGCAACAGCTTTGAACCCTAAAGCCTCAAATTCAATCTCACGTGTTTTCATTTTTGATTTTTGTTTCAAATTTTTGTAACAGTTTTCATTTTTGATTTTTGTTTCAAATTTTTGTAACAGTTTCAAATTTTCGATTAAGATTGTAACAGTTTCAAATTTTTGATTTCAAACTTCTGTATTTTGAACTGATGATGTTGTTGTTGGGTTTCCTCAAGTTGCAGAATGATGATGATTCTATTGGAAAAAGGCAAAGATTTAAGGAAAAATAATAATGATGATTCGTTTTCTGGAACTGATGATGTTGTTGTTGGTTTTTGTTAAGTTGCAAAAATTGATAATGATTTCTCCATTATGAAAAAAATGAAATTAAATATATATGATAATTTGCATATTTAATCATCAAATGGTAAAATAACTTGGTAAACTATGTTGGATAGGAATCTTAACTAAAGCAGAATTTTAGAATGTTTTTTGAAATTATCTAACATCAATACCACTGAAAAACTTCACAAAATTAACTAACATTAATACCACTGAAAAAATTTTAAAAATTCTAGAAAAAACAAAAATAATACTAGTTTGAAAGAATCATTAATATTACACTTATAATGTAAAGCAGTAATAGTTTGAAAGATTTTTTAGCGAGTATAATTAGGACAGAGGAAGTAACGATGATCCATAGTTACTGCAATCAATCAAAAGTAATAAATACCCCTCACCAAATGATACAGAATTACAACAATTAGTGAGCAGTTGAGGAAGTAATATTTAATGACGTTTAAATGTAATTTAATTAGCCATATAGTAATGATCCAATGAAAGAAATCAACTAGTATATGGGAGTAAGGTTATATACTCCCTAGTATAAGAAAAAATTGTATTTAAATTCATTCCGGTCACTATTATAAAAAAGAAAAAATTGTATTTAAATTTATTAAATAATGAAGATATTTCACTCTTATAAGTATTTCTCTTGGCTAGGGTTATGCATGTCGCTTATTTTATAAAAAACATACACATTCATTATTCTTACCTTGCTAAAATTTCTAACACAATATTTAACAGCAATGCTAACACCTAAATTGACTATTGAACAGGATCAAAATAAGAACCAATTACAAAGAATACGTGCAAAACTAAAGAAATTAATGGCCTACCTTTCCTTGTAACTTACACATGTTACACGAAGCACAAGATTCTAATGTATCAAGCACAAAAAAGTAAAATAAAAAAAAATGAAGTGTATAAAACTAATATTAATAGAACAAAATTGATTATGACAACACAATACATGATTCTTCATCCCAGCAATGGAGGAGAAAGTGAAACGACAAAATGGGACATTTATCACCATGATGAATCCCCTAAAGCTGAGAACAATTCTATCTCGAAGCCTATGTCCCATAAATATGTCTGTGGACAGGTTGAACTTCTAAGTTATTGACTACATCAGACCATGGTTTTTCTATCATAAAGAAGAGACTATTTGAAATATGGGATAGGTATAAAACTCGATCCTTTTCTAACGGCAAAACTTCAAAGTTTTCAAAGTTCTTCCTAAATTTAGTCTTTTTCTTACCATTTAAATTTGGCGAATTCTTGACCACTGAATCTCGAGTATGTAACTTTTCACCTTCATCTTGATTCACGGGCAAGCCGAAGTCGATCAAGCACATCGCCCTGAAGATAGAACAATTTCAAAAGATGAGAAATAAGAGCAGTAAAGTATAAAATATCATACATGTGATACTTTCATAGTTTCTATTCTGACGAGGAATACAGACATTCTAAGATCGTGGATATTTGGGATATCAAAAGATCCCAAATAATTATTTATCTTCTCATGGCTCGTGTAAAATTATGTCATGACTTATAGAACAGTTAATGCTGATTTAACTTCCAAGTATATCCTTGACATTCATAAATTCAACAACTACTACACTTCAAAATTGTTATATGAGAAAAATCTGATTTTATTATTGTTTTGGAAGGAACATCTGATTTTGACAAAAACACCAAGTAGTTCAACAATAAAAAAATATTTGTACAAAAAACATACCTGGAGCTATAGACCATTACTGAAGATGAAGTTGAAGAGGGAGGGAATGAAAGTCCAATGACTTCACCCGGAAACTCGTGAAATCTCTTGGGAAGAACAAATGTATTCCGCACTGACCATTCCCCCAATTGTCTGGCCTCTACATCAAATGCATACACTTGATTTGAAGAAGTTGTAACTATCAGTACATTGTTGTTCTGAGGTGGAAATCCAGCCGCTGTAACAGAGGCACCACCCAATCTCGAAATGAACCAGTGCTGCCTGTTCAATAAAAAATTTATTTCATGAAAGATGGATAGAACGACTCCCACATCATGAAAATCAAAGAGCATGAAAGATGTTCCCTAGCTATTATTGGACCAAAACAAATGATTGATGTTGTGAAGCATTCGTTCTGTGCATTTTATTGTATCTTCCTAAAAGTGTTTTTTATTTTCAATTTTCCTTAACCTAAAGTATGGTCTACTCTAGCTACCTGCAGCAAAGCAATTTAAATAGTAAGTGTCTCAATTAAAAATAGGTTGGAAAAAATAGAAAATACCTTAGTGTCTCCAAGTTAAATACATATATATCCCCAAAGCAATTCACGGCGGCCAACCACTGTCTATCAGAACTAGTACACAATTTTGTGATGGGTGGTTCGGCTGGTGATAATCCATTATCTTGTGATTCACGAAACGGTGTAAAAGTATGTATCAGTTCCGAGCTATTGGCATCCACAACCTTATAACATTCAAAAGTAAATGGTGGGATCAATAAAACAAACAAAAGAGATGCTTAATCCAAATATCATAGAACTTTAAAGTTGGCGCCAACTCTTTCATTTCAGAAAGAAGCTCATTCAGAATCAAATGTTTAAATGCTAGCAACCAACATCATGAGAAACAACAAAAATGGCAGACATCAGGAACCTGAACTTTGGTAGTTTCAGAATTTATCAGATAACGACATACAGGTACAAGATGAGAAAAAGGAAATTTTTACAATGATTATCAGCAAATAGGTAAGTTAACTCAGATTAAAAAAAAAAGTCTAGAAACCGGCGGGTAGTGATGTAAAGCATCCACACTATGCATAATCCAAAAAATTTACTATAACATACATTTAGAGATGAAAAATATTGCTAACTTACATATATCCTTCTATCAAGGCCAGCTACTATCAACCAAGAAGAGTCATGAGAAAAAATCATTGAATGGGCAGTAGGTAATCTCTCGGGAAGCTTCCTTTTACCAAAACTCCATGTAATTATTCCTGCTTCAGATCTCTCCACTTTATAAAGAATAGGCTTTTCATTATCCGAATACGCAAAAAACATCCCTGAATTAGCAAGGGCGCTGCAAATTATCTTACGAGATGCCTTAATCTTGAATCGCCCAACACTTTCAGCCTTTGCATAGTCTCCAGTTCTGCGAACATTTTTGAGATGTAGCAAACGGACTTCTAACCAATGTGAAGACTGTAGTAAAAGCATGGGTGATTGATTGAAGGAAGTATTAAGTGCTACTTGAATGGGTGTTCTCTGAGGCAAAGGACAGATACAATGAGGTTTAAACCCGGTGAATTCTTTAACAGCATATGCATAGAGTTTTGTGTCATCTCCAGCTGAGATAAGCATGGGATGCCCTGAATGAGCCCATTTGTGGTAACTAGAATCATCTGGCTTTAGTTCATGACGAGCTCTTTTGATCCTTTCATCATCTGACTTTAGTTCAAGACGAGCTCTTTTGATCCTTTCATCAGGCAAAGCATCTGCCAAACAGAAACCCATGGTTAAGGAACAGGATGACAAATGTAAAATAAAAAAACATCAATATACACTTTCCATCTTTCTCTAAAAATACTTCTCTAAAATACTCTTAACACATAAGACATACAGATTTTGTAACCAAGCACACTCTTGTACTACCACTTTAAGAGTAGAAAACAAATAATAAAACAATAGAAATTTTAGACAGACCTTCTTGGCTAATTGGCACAGCAACAGTCAAGGCTCGGACATCATGTGAATGACCTTTCTTATAATCAACGTAGACCCAATTCTCTTTCTCCGTGGTTGATGAAGACAGTTTATAAAGAACAACCTTCAAATAAGAAGTGAAACAAACATTTTATCATTCACTTGATGACCAAGGATTGTGTAACATTTAATCTTACTTAAAATGATCAAAAGAAAGGCCACAAACAACAGTTTAATGAAAAAATATTAACACTAAAATACTTTGACTTACAAATAGCACAAAATTGCATTTTTCTTAAGAGAACATAAAATGCAGAAAGCAAGATCAGTTCAAGATACGGATACACAATTACATTTTAAGAAAAGAGAAGGGAGTGTATCCGCTCTGTAGTTAACAGCAAATGTAGTTGCGGCAACGACGCCATAGAATGGCGTAGCAGCCATTAGGCACTACAAGATCTGCTGTTGCATCGCAGTGTCAGGTAGCAGCAGTAGCTCACACCACCCGGCCAAATCACAGCAAAATACAAGCTGTAGAGGCCAGCATGGTGAAGCTTTTGCAAAAAAGTCAAGCATATACAGAGTTATTAAGCTATAGCCTGCAGCCTTTGGTAAGATTCAAGCAGTTTCATAGTTCTCATGCTACACTTTTCTCTCCATTGCATCTTCATTCTATCTAACTCTTCCTTACACGCATGACATATCATTTTTTAATAACCGAGGCAATGACACTTAGATAGCTGAAATTCAGGTACCTTGTCCAAGTGGCCAATATGTTCTATCTTGTTTTTTGTTTTGGTGGGCCACCCAATCTATATAATAATCTCTCAGAATAACATTAAATCAATAAATTGAAGACATTCAAAATAGTATGATAAAAGAAATAATTTTAAAAAAAACAATAATAGTATACAATATAATATACTAATTATTTAGAAAATAATAACTTATAATGTAAAGCAACATGTATCATAAAGTAAAGAAAATAAGTAATACATCGGAAACTGAAATATAAGATAAACAGATCATATCATCAGACAGCTCAACAGTTTCGTTACTTGGGTTAATATGGAAAAGTTCAATCTCTTTTGGTGTTAAAAAGATCAATTACCATGGTTCATAACAATCTACAATTTTTGGAACTACATACCTTTCCATCAGAACCGGCAGAGAACACCATATTGTGATTAGGGGCTGCTGCCAGAGCATGTACATCTCCCTTGTGACGAGTAATAGGTTCTTGAGACGGAGCTCCTAGTTGGCAGTCCCAAAACTGGACGCTCCCACTGCTGTCGCCACTAACAAGTGTCCCAGACCTAAATAATAACTAAATCAGCAACACAGGTAGCAAACAGGCAGTGGTACTCCAAATTCCAATACTAAAATCAAAGCAATAGAGTAAACATGAATTCTAGATGTATACACATCTTAAACAGTTGAACAAAAAGACGTGGTTGTTGTCACCTTAAATACAGTAGTGACCATATGCAAAGTTCATGTCCACTGTCACCACCCAGTCTAGCTGGAATCCTATGGGCTTCAAGACCCAATTTGGCATTCCAGATACGAATTATCCTATGAGTAAACAGAAAAATGTAAACAAAATCATGTAAAAAAAAAGTGAATTGAGCAGCTGAATGTTCTTAATTTGTATTTAGCTTTATGAGAAGAAACATGTTATCACATTTACCTAAGTCATATCAATTTTATTTTTTTATAAAGAAAAGTGGATTATGATGCTGCATTATATGCTAACTTTTTTTATGAACTAAACATGCAACTTGGATTATTGTGAAAGAAAATAGGATATAAACTAGTCCTTATAATTGAGAGTGGTGCAAAATCAAAGTAACACAATGATCTATATGACAACACCAAACACAATATTAATACATACCCATCACTACTTCCTGAAAATATGAACTTAGCATCGTCGCTCCAAGCCACACTTAAAACTCGTCCTGAAAACAACACCGTATATCATCCTCTAATGGAACTCAAGCATAAAATGAAGAAACACCACGGCAAAAAAAAATCTAACCTGTGACCCGGGTCAAGGATTTCAAGTATATAAATTCATTTGAATCAGATATAGTGTAAATTCTAACACATCCATCATCAAAGCCAACTGCTACTCTTGGACCCTCTAAACTGGATTGCTTTAGAACTTCAGGTGAATCGGATTCGTAATCTTCATCACTTTCATTGTCCTCATGTTCATCAAAACCATTAAGAAATCTCTTCGAAAAACCATTTTCCATGTGAACACCATTGGTTTTGCCATCGTCACTTTTAGACAGAGCCACAGCCATTTGCCAGATTGACACACCATTAGATTCAAGCACCATCTGATGGAACAGCGTCATGTTAAACAAACAAAATATCAAAAACATTAACACCAATGGTCAAAAGTGTCAAATAAAACGAAAAAGCATGGCTTATTTAAAAACCATAACACTCTCTCACACTACCCGACAAACCCAACTATATACCTAACGTCTAGTAAGCTTCATGAGATTAAAAAAAGCCCAGTTCTGAATAGGGACTTGTTTAGAAACGCTTGTTTGAGCTTTTATCTACGACATTCGACATATGTACAAATGAAATTGTCTAACGAACACATGGAATCAACTAATGACGTGCCCATAAACTGTTTTCAACTTAATTGCATAAGCTCTGCAATATAGCATATATGCAAACCACTTATAACTTGTTAGCTTCTTCATAAGCGGATGTTTAACCAAACAGCCCTAAATAGCTAGCAACAGTCACTAGACTAGAACTTGCTCCATTTTAAAAATCCTATCAAAAAACCCTTGAAATTTCAAAATCTTCACTGATCAATACAAAACAGCAGTACCAACAAAAAAAAAGTAAAAACAATAAACTATACCGTTTGCTTCAAGTGATAAAGATCCCAAAAGGAAACAGACCCATCAATATTAGAAGAAAACAAACGACCATGCGGAAACTCTTTTTTCCCACCAGGACACCAAAGTAGCGACGATACAATCCTATTAGGATCACCATGAATAGTCTACAAAACCAAAACAAACAATCAACACTAATCATTACAAAATCAACCAAGAACATGAATCCAAAAAATAAAAAAAACCGTTAAAGTATAACAGTAGTAGTGGTGAATTAGTACCAATTGACAGTGCCAGCCTATAGTATTAGGAGAAACGAGCCAAAGCTCCAAGGAACCGTCCTCGCGTGAAGCGGCGACGCGTGAGCCGTCGATGCTTGTGGCTAGAGCTGTGATTGGTGAGGGTTTCCAGTCTTCGTTTTTGAGCTGGTACTTGACCTTGATCTTGTCCATGGAGGAAGAATTGAGAATTGATTAGGAGGAGAATAGGGTAGTGAACGAGAAGACGGCCATACTTAGGTTTGTTTGAGATTTAAGCGCGGTGGGTTTCGCTTATTTATATAATGGGTTTTTTTCTCAGGAAGCCCAATTATTATTTTTTGACCTTGGCCCAAAATAAATTTATTATGTAACTACTTGGATGTGTTTCTAATATTTCGGCTAAAAAAATGTAGATTTCACTTAAAAACTAATGTTTGATACCCAAGTTATACACTTATGACAACATGTTTGATACTTATCAATACCCGCCTAAACTTAACTCATGTTTTATTAGGTTTGAATTTGAATTTTTTTTTTTCGATTTTAAAAGATGGAGATATGATAGATAATGGAAACACTAATACTTCGTTCAACCTATGTTAAATTTAAAATGTTTTTATTAAATTAACAATATTAATTATTTTATTAATATATTATATTTTAATCTGTACTTTATTGTTTAATGAAGATTTCTTATTCAATTGTATACTTTTCTAACACAACTCGCGAAATTCCAAAAATATCTTTGAAAATCGAAAATATATTTTCGATTTGCACCCCCACACACATATAATTCATTCGTTTTGAGATTCGTCTCATTTTACAGTAAAATTAAAACCGGAAATACTCTTTCAGTATAAACTAGAAATACACTTCCGGTTTCTAATAATAGACATGACATGGAAATGCACATTATTTAATATATTATGATATATGAATTTTGCCTAGAGTGGAATCTTTTAAATACCACCACCATTGGTAACGCGTCTTGAAATTGAGACATTTTTTATGTAACCAATCATTTCATGTCTAAGGATAGGAATGAATTAATATTCAAGCAACATTCACAGCTTGTCAAATTTCCATAAATAAATGTCTGTTGTGTGACCATGTAAACTTTCATCCCAAATTTTAGATGCAGCTACTATCTGCTACATATATACTTTCTTTTGCTAGAAGCATCATTATATTGTAAGAAAACACTATACAGATTCAACAAGAATCAACAATTAAACCACCATCAGAAGGAGCTGCACTGTCACCAACATTGTCCATTTCCGTTTTCACCGCTTCATCCTCTTCTTTCTCAACCTTCAATCTCTGCTTCATCACAGTGATAAGAGTTTTAATTAGAAATTAGAAATACACTACACACAATTAAGAAAACAATGGGAACCGAGTTTAACAAAAGTTATCAAGTTTAAACACTAATCACCTTCGTTTTATGAGCAAACATATTCTCATACAGCTTGGCATCTTTTTTGTCACTATCAGCTCGAAGTTGCTTCACTTTCATTTTCAGCATCTTTAACTCCCTGAAAAACGATGCTCACCTGTGATAAGATTTTAATCCACCAATAAATTTCTTTGGAGGATCAAATCAATCATTTACACGTACCTGTTTTGTGGATCCACCTCAAGAGCTTTCTTGATGTCTACATCTGCTAAAAGAAAGTCTCCAGTCTCTATATATGCCTGCGCTCGTCTATACAAAGCTTTCACGTTGTGAAACTCCACATCAAGCACCTGATGAAAAGAGTATGAGAAGCATGATATGAGGATTATAATATTTCAAAAAGTTCACTTCTTATCGGTCTTAAAGCTTAACAATAGTTGTATAAGCCAGTCTATAACCGTACTCAAACTTGATCCTATCTAGTTCATTATGAATCTGCTCAAGTTGACACAAAACCAAATTTGTTAAGTTAACTCGGCTTTGATAACCGGAGTCGCTAACTAGTAGTACGATGTCATGCATTAGCTCAACTTTGCCTAAGTAATGACTCGAGTGGCTGTTACCTGAGTACATAGTTTGACTGCTCCAGCAAAGTCATTCAGTTTAAGGCAACAAGCTGCACCATTCAACCAGCATGAAATTCTCAACGACTTAGCTAGCTTTTGCTCATCATCACCAAAGGATCCATCTTCACTAACAAAATCAGCAGCCTGAGAGACAAATAGGTATCATGGATTTGGACCAAAAATCTTGAACTAAAAATAATCAATTGAACTTGAAACATTAAGGGCCTGTTTGTTTCAGCTTTAAAAAAATGGATTTTTTCTTTGTATTTTTTAAAATAGATTTTACAAAACTGTTTTTCAAAATATGACAAGTTTTTTTGTATTCGTTTTTTCTAAATTGAAACACTAATTTTAACATCCTATAATTTAAACATACATTATAGAAGACCAACACATAGTCAAAATCGTAATTTTTTCAAAAAGTTGTATTTCAAAATTGATTTTTATGAAAATCTATTTGAAATAGCTTCAAAATTAAGTGATTTTTTGAAATTTTGATATCCAAAAAAAGTTTCAATAAGAAGATGAAATACCTAAAATAACATTTTAGGAACAATTATTCAAACCAAATTTTCATTTGAAGCTTTTATGAAAAATTTCTTTGTAAATTTTTTTTATACAAAATTATGTAATACTATAAAAAACATTTTTAAAAAAAGCCAAAACAAACGGATCCTAAAGCTATTGCAAGTAAAGGATTTACCTTATCATACTTCTTCGCTGCTCGCTGATATTTGCCACTTTTATATAATAAATTTCCTTCTTCTTTCTTCCTCCCGGCTACCTCAACTTTCTCAGTATTATTTAACTCCCATGGTGCTTTCTCCTATGCATTTATGATAGTGGAAGCACATCAATAGTTAATAAGGATAATTTCGTAAAATGGCCATTTTCTTTCTTCAATTTACTGCATTTCTTAGCAAATGTGTAAAAACCTTAAACAATATTCACTTTGAAACGGAGGGGGTAGTATATAGAAAAAACCTAGATCTCCAATCCTCAAGGCAGCGGATTTCTTTCTTCTTACCTTAATAAAATCGATCATTTCAATGTCATAGATTACTTTCGAGCCTGGTGGCACAATAACCAGATTTTCTCTCACTTCCACCATTCCAAATGCATAATCAGCATGTATGCTAATTATGGCCTTCTCGCCCTTTTTCATTGTTGCCACTGCTCGGTCTAGACCAGTAATCACTTGTTCTACAAAGAGAAAAATAAAAATACTAGTATCATCACTTCTTAGAAGTCATAAACAGTTTAATATAAGGGGTAACAAAAAGCATGTAGAGTGTGGTTGAGATATTAAAGAATAAACTCACCCTCATCAGTTACGAATTTCAAGGGCTGTGTTTCATCAACTCCTCTTTTCTCGAATACTGTGCCATCTTCTAGCATAGCTGTGTAACTGACTGCCATGGCAATTTTAACAAAACGAGTTAGTAAAATGAGGATCATTCTTACAGTCACGTCATCAAGGGTTTGAAAGTATCTAATAATCCTTTAGTTAAAGAATATATTAGAAATCTCTTATCAAGTTACATGACTGCAATTCTTATAATTATGGACTCATTCTAATTTAAATCTACTGAACCAATAATGAAACTTGGGTCATTTTCATACCAGTAACATTTGCACCCTCGTTGGCTGTGAAAGCACCATCCCCTTCTTTTAAAATTTTCTTAATCACCATAGAGTCACCGGTAACATTTATGACGGGCTTGAAGGACACCAATTCAATATTAACATGCAGCACTGAGTCAGGGGGAATTGAATGGAACCCGCTACCAGCTTCTCTCCCCGTCTCCCCAAAGGCATCTACATTCACCGTGTGAAAACAATTCCAAACTAATTATTTGAGATATTGGACCACAAATATTTGATAATTTAAAGTTCCGTTTTACAATCAATTTATCAATACCAATTCCGATGTAGTAACTATTTAACTAACACATAGAAGAAAGCGGAAAATTTCAATGGAATACAAAGATGGCTACCCCATTTCATTTCAATTAGAGTGATGCACCCGAAAACGAAACTTCGCGCCTCTTAAAAGAATGAGGAAACATATGAACGTAAAATAAACCTTTCATTTGGATACAAGAAAGGTAAAAATATAAAATATAAAAAATATTTAAAAAAAACAGATATTATAGGTGGAGTAAAAGAACAACGGGCGTACATTGAGGTTGAAAAATTAATTCAGCCTTCTCTCCCCTGGTCATAGTCATGATCACTTTCGGCAGTCTAGGAAGAACATGACCTATCAACAAAATAATTTGTCACAGACTGAGATGAAAAAATAAATTATACTCACTGTACAATGAAATAAAATACGAATACAACTCATCAATATTACCATCCTTCACATAGAATTCAACTCCTTCTTCCGGTGTTTCCGCAACAACAGTGCCATCTACTAGTGCCACCTGATACTTCACTATAGTAGCCAAATAGAACAAAAGAGACTAATAAGCCAACACAATCTTCAAATTTAAAACACATGACAAAAAAAGAGATACAAATACAAAAACAGAAAATGTCATTAAAATGGATAACATAATAACGCTCAACTTGTTGACAAGTGTGAAGAAGCAAAAGAGTTATGTATAAGCAGCTGTTAGAATACCAAGAACTTCATCAAGATCACCAGGCCGATCATTCCCTTTCCCCTTCTCCGTAATTTTCTTGATAACTCCGCCATCTTTGCAAACATCCACTACAGTGATCCAAGAAATCAGTTCCACTTCAAACTGCACAACCGAGTTGGTGTCTCGTGGAATGCTTCCAGACTCAGCAGCAGGTAATGTAAACAATGCCACCTCTCCTTTCTGCATGGTGACAATCCCATCATCCAATCCAGCAAAGACTTCACCTATCAACCCCAGCAAAAAAAAAACAAATAAAGATCACACCCACATTAGCATTACGGAATTAGCTCCTCAAACACAAACAGTCCACCTTTTAGAGAGTAAAGTAATCTCAATTAATGTTGAACAAATCATGGCTGAAGTTCCAACTCATTTATGATTTTTCATGCTTATGCACTTAACATCAACTTTTTTTTTTAATGGCAAATAAAATATATTAAAAAGTAAAGAAAATCAAGTTACAACATAAAATCACAAAGCACAAGAAGTGCCCAGAAACAGGAAGCCTCAAAAGGAAGG